CCATCCATCCATCTAAAACAAAGAAAATTATTAATTTAATTATATTTTTTTATCCTTTTTATATATTATATGATTCACAATTAATTTCTATCTCATTCTCAAATTTTTATATTTAAAAATTAACGATGTAACAATTTTTAAATAATATTTTATTTATAAAATCTGACAAATCACGTGAAATTTTAAGAGTAATAAACATAAATTAAAAGATGGAAACTACATTATTTTTTAGAAAAAAAAAGTAGGAGTGGTTCAAAATTATGTAAACTTAAAATGGGAATATTAATGTCGTAAATCCAATAAAATAGTGATCAAAACTATAATAATTAAGTATAAATTGTATTTAATTTTTTGAAATATTAAATTAAAATTCATATTTTTAAATAATATTTTATTTTTAATTATTTTAATTTTAACAAATTAATTATTTTTTAGTATTAATATCCTAATTTGTTTCATTTTCATTTTTATTTTATTAAATTTTAGTTTCTATATTTAAAGTTATATATTTTAAAATAATTTTATTTTTTTTATAAGGCAAAGAAAGGTATATAGACAATTCAAATAAAATACAAGATATCTGAAATAAACTAAAACAAATGCACATACATGACAACAATATCCAATGCAAAATCAAACACACACAAAAAATTGTACGAGCCTTCAATTCTCAAATTGCTTCCATTTCTCATTCTGGATGCACAATCTCTCTTTCATACCACCACAAATCCAAGTCACGGTTTACGTATTTTTCCAATTTAGGATAAGAGAGGTCGGCAGTCACATTATTGGTATTGTAAAACAATTTAGAATTGACTCTGCTAACCTTCATGCAAATGAGAGGATTATATTAGACGAAAGGTTGTTAGAGCGGGTATTCACATCACCTATCTTCACTCTAAATAGCATATCTCTTAGGTGTCGTCTTGCTTTCTCTCAGGCATTAAAAGATGCGTTCCCCAAAGTGGTTGTGATCTATGATCTTTAGGTGCATGGGTTCGGTTGTTACTTTTTCTTCGTTGCACTTTATAGGTGGTCAAACCTCAAAATAGGCGGAATCACATGTCTGGGAATCGAGAAACCTTGCAACACCATCATATTTTAGAGTGCTTAACTACTTAAAGGGATGCATATGGTCTTTCCAAGTTAGTTGATAGTGTGTTGGGCAATTCTAAGCCAAAATAAGTTAGGGCATGAGGGAGCTCATATTGAGGAGAAAGATGCAAAGGTGAGCTCCAACGTCAAGCAATGCTTTCGTAAGGTTGCAAATGGTCACTTCACAGCGGTAGTGAAAGTGTTGGGGTCATCTCGTGTAACCCCCTATAACGCACATATTGTGAAGGATTTAGAGGCTAAACATCTCCCTCAATGCCGACCACTTTGTTCTATGAAGCTCATCTAGTGGTTGAAGTTGATATTGTTGAAATTCTGGTACAACAGACTCAGATGTCCTACAAGAATGTCGAAACTTCTGATATGACATAAACACACAGGCAAGATAAAATAATACTGAAAAGATAAAGAACACACCAGAATTGCTTACCCAGTTCAGTGTACAACAACACCTACTCTGGGGGCTACCAAGCCAAGAATGAAGTCCACTATCAGCAGTATCAATTTGCAGACCCTACAGCCAACACACCCGTTGACGATCTACGCACTTAAACCACTATCCAATGACCCTTCTACCTAGGTCCTCCCTAGATATGGAATATCCCCATCCCACTTCTAATCATCACAATGATGTCTAGCAGTCAACACTTCAGTCACTGCATAGACGACCCTTCACCAAGATTCTGATCACATAGACAGTTTGGAAGACACACTTCCATGACAACCTAACTAAGTCTCTAAGCCAAACTCCACTATTTGTTAGCTTTGCTCCTAACTAAGAACACATCCTGGAGTTGTTTCAAAGCTTCCTCCAAGAATAATACACCTCTTATCTACATACTTCAAGGTGAACTTGGTAACCTTCCCACAACCCGAGAGGTTTACCTTGACAAAACCCTAGACTTCTACATCTTGAGCCGCATGTTTTCTAAATTACAAATCCTTCTATTTATAACCTGTTACCCAACTGGTTTTGGGTCTTCAATCACAGCAAATCAG